GCGACAACCAGTGATATCCTTGATAAGATGTGCTTCAAAGTCGGGGATACCGTATTTCAACGCGGTTGCGCTACTAACTGCCTTTGAGCCAAAGCCTAGTCGGGCTAACTCTCGACAACAATATTTATGACTCTTCGGACTCGGGTTCAAGGTGTACATACAAAGACACTGGTGACATGCACCAGGCTCGGAGAGAATTTGTTCTGGGCTAACGGCTCTGAAACACAGTCGGAGAATTGGGGTCAGAGCGCACTCCGTGTCCGTACACGTACAGGAGCTGAAATGCATTGACGTAGGAGTCAGAGGAGACTTCGGGGCTCAATTGCTGGCACCGAGCCTGTCACTGGAGCTCCCTACGGAAGTAGGCGGATGTGGAATTTCCAAATACATTTCCGCGACCCCATTTTTTTTATCATGAGCAACTTGCCAAGTATTGCCACTCTACATGGCAATAACATGCGGGAGATTGCCACCTCCTTGTTGGTGTTTAATGCGGCTAATTGTGCATGGTCAGCTTCTCATGACCAGTGTTTGTCAGGAGCCTCGTCCTCCACGATGCGGCCATAGGATCGGCAGATGAACCTCTTTCCCTTCTCTTTTTACCATGCTGACAGAAATTGCCTAGTCTGGCGCCCATTCCGACTAAGATGCGTACATGTTGAAAGCCGCCCAACAATTGCTGGGGTCTTTAAAGCTGGGCCTGTTGATTGACGACAGTTGGAATATAAGTAATGAAAATTCTCTCGGTGGCATACGAATAGACTCAAAATTGAGCAAGGGATATAAATAAATAGAGGAAGAATGAAAAGACGTGTGAAATAAAGACAAAGGAACTCTAGTGCATAATTAAATGGTCTCAGACGAGGAAAGACACCTAGGTGCTTGCATTGGAGCTGCAGCGATATGAATCGAATGCATCGAGCCTTTAGCAAACGACAGTGGCAAAGAAGTTGTGCGCCCAACTTGCCAACCCCCGAGTACATACATCTGGGTGCATTAAGTGCCATGCTTAAGTACTTTAGGTTACCACGCCACGACCATGGAGTTGAGACGTCATCGTCTGTTAGCACCAGGAGAGGGGGAGCAACAGCGTGGCTATCCTAAAGGGGAACGACTGATTGCGGGCGATAAACATCAGACATTATTCTCTTGTAGTACACATGGGGATGGCTAGATGTTCTTAGGCACATTGCCGGGACTGTACCGTACAGACTTATGTTGCGTTGGTGCGGTCGGCTTTTGCCACCATGCCAGCTTCGCATGCCCGAATTGGCAATGCATTCGGGTCCGCAGACGGGGATGAAGACCGCCTAGAAAGGGGACGACAAAGACTTGCATGTGCAGTGCCTACAGCTGAAGGGCTGGCGGCAGAAACATGAAAGACGTCGCTTGACACTGCGTGACATCAAAAGGTGAGTACTTGCATCATCACATCATGGTGGGGGTTCCAGATGTCAGCTCAAGTCAACAAAGTACCCCTCGTTGGCAAACTCACGGCGGGGAACGGCCACAGACATTGGCTGGTGGTGCTTTTAATCTCGGATGAGCAAGACGGACAAAAGACACGCGCAGCAGACAGGAGGGGCACAAGCAACGGGCTCGACCGACTCCATCACACAAACAAACTTGGACCTTTGACCTTCATACCCGTTCTTGCATTGCTGCCGGCGCAACCTACTGTTCAGCTGCGGCACCTAATACTTTTGTTTAATCTCCGCATTCGCTTTGTTCGTTTCTGCATCTCCAGCTCCCAGAAGCCCTCACCATGTCGTGGCAAGGTACCGACCATCCCACCGCTCCCAGTCAACAACCCCTCCTATCACCGCAACTGCATCATCGTTGACTAACCCTCGGCCGTGCAGCTTATGTCGACACCAGGTACACCTGCGCCCTCCATCTCCGGCCCCTCGTCCTCGCTCCCGATGATATAGTAGAAAAAAGCTGACTCTTGACCTTGCCCAGCCTTGTGGCTACCGGTCACATTGACAAGGGCGCCATTATCAGCGCAGCCGGCGACAGCGCCTGGGCGGCTTCGACCGACTTCCAGGTAAATTTTTTATTTTATTATTTTTTTTTTTTTTTCCAAAATCACATACCGCCTCTCCCCTCTTAGACGATGCCCCACAAACAGCAGCGGGTGTCGCTCATGGATGTCCAAACAGACTGCTGACTGATACTCTCTGGGCTCTCAACGGTAATAGCTTAAGCCCGAAGAGATGAAGGCCATTTCTGCTATTGTCAGCGGCGACGCCGCCGCCAAGGACAAAGCCTTCGCAGAAGGTCTCTACATTGCCGGCAGCCGATACGTCATGGCCCGAGCCGATGGTCGGAGTATCTACGCCAGACAGGTACGGGAAGCTTCTTGACATTTTCCCCCATGTCCTGAAAGCTAACATGGTTTGGGTTTTGCTTCTGCGGACAGGGTCGATTGGGTGTTGCCATCGCCAAGACCAAGCAGGCTATTGTTGTTGGCCACCACGGCGAGACTGGAGTCGCCGGCAATGCTAGCTCGACTGTCGAAGGACTGGCTGACTACCTTATTGGTCAGGGATACTAGATGTGGGAAGGAGATGTATGACGAGATGAAGCTACACAAAACAAGTCGACATGGCAAGATGTTACGAACATATGAAGATTAGGAGTCTATTAAACCCAACCGGCCGTCTGTTACTACAAGTTGTTGCTTTTCGTCAACATGACCTGTGACGAAGTATATTTGGCAGGTATTGAAACCAGGAAACTAGACAGCATATCTCGCATCAACGCGGAAACCCCTACTCGCCATTGCCGGGATGCTAGAGCCAACCCAGATCACATTTGCAAGAAACCAACATAACAATGTCCAATCTGCCAATAGTAGCTTTTGCGCCGTCGACCATAGACCGGCTGCCGACGTAGGTTGGTACATTCCCTCATCCACCCTCTGCTATGCAATATGATACAGAATTTCCTTTGACTTTTCCACACCTCTACGCCCGGAATTCGAATACGCCGGATCCGTCCCTGCGTTTGTCCCTCCCACCTTGGGAGATGAATTTATGCCCAGTCAAAAAGCACGGAGTCTTGAAAAAAAATCCCTTACTCCCGCAACACATACACGTACTCCATTATAGATCCTTCATTCCTCACCAAATTCCACTAGCATGTTGACAATGTTCAAAAACGCATTCGTATCGAGTCGCAGAACCAGACTTTTAATTCCGTTGCGGTCCTTTTTCAAACCGGCAACTCCGCATTTCGGCGTCCCAGTCCTATCCTATCGACAACCATGCCAATATACGGTCCAACAACGGGTATTCCCCTCGCAAAGCCGGCAATCGTGCCCAAGAAATCTCCAAACAGGATAACTATCCCGTACGCCTCGACTAAAAAGCCGATAAACGTCCAGCGCATCAAGATCATCGTCAGACCTGCAAAGAAGGCTGCTGTGCCTTTGGCCTTTTGTTTGCGCGCGAAGAAGAGGAGCGTCTTTTGGGGGCCGATGATGATTGTCAGGCCGATGAGGAAAAGGATCTACACACTGTATCAGCTTTTGCTTGACTCTTTTCTTTCTTCGAAAAAGAGAGCAAGTCGCCTGCGTCTTTCGGGGGGGCGAGAGGGGTGTCGTACATTTCCCATGGCAAGCCTGCTTGCCGATTAGATACCATCGTGAGGGTTGGAAAAGGGAGATACGTACATGGCGCGATCAAAGAAGAGCATTACTCCTCCGATGAGGAACAGGCCTCCTGTGGAATAGGTTAGCTGTCGAATGCTCGGCATTTGCGCCGACGAGAGTGGACGCCGCACACGTACCGCCGGAGCAGAAGACTACCCCTATTTCTGTAGACATTGTCAGCGCCCGTCTTCCATGTTCAGCTCTGGCTAGTCCATCGCCGAGTTGTGCACTTTGCGACGCCAGCTTGCTGTGTCGCGTGTGCCAGGGGGTTCCATGGTCGTGTACATACTTTGAGAGTCGGACATCCACATCGACATGGTCGGCGGTTTATTTTCCCAGTTCGTTTTTAGGGACTTTAGATTTTGTTGGATATTTCGGATAGAGAATGTGGTCTCGAGGCAAGCGCTTTAATGAGGATTCGTGTGAAAAGGGGAATCTCTTTTTTTTTTTTTCCTTCCTTTCCCTTCTAAGATTGCATGTGGTTCTTCTTGATGGGTACGAATGGACAGCATGGCGTTCGGGGTCTCCAGCTATTGGGGTCAGGCACGGGCTTTCCTGAGGTGTAGGGAGAGGGTGCGACAAACATGGTTTAGCGCGATTGGGGGAATGAGAGCGACCCACTGTCCATTTTTTGCTGGCGAGATAAATTTCGAGGCTGGAAGGACCTAGGACTGATTCCTTCAACCTTCGTTGTTTGATACCTTGATTTCCAACAGCTGAAGCCCTTGATTCCTGGGACTTGTGCACCTTTTTCTGTCGTGACTGGGCTGATTATGGATACATGTTCGCACGGAAAGCTAAGTGACTTTCCAAACCTGACCACCTGTGGCTTGCCAGCCGGTGTTCATAATGATGCATGTCTTTTTCCGACCCTGTGTGCGAAGTTCGGTATTGTACCAGTGGTTTCAGATCACGCACTGCAGAATCGACACAAGACTTCGAAAACATTGGCAGTCTTGGACAAATATTTTCTATAACTTTGGCTTCACTACTAGTACACATTGCCCCGACAGCCAGGCTCTTTAGCTTCGGCAACTGAGATTGCTCGTCTCCATGCATTCTCGGTACTTTGTCGGCTTTCATAGCTCGGGCAGAGAGCAAAACTCGATCACGATTAAGCCGGAGCGTCATTTGCCATCCCTGGCTGAAAGGCCGGGGATGCATAGTTGAAGCTTGACTTTGTTGGTCGGACATTGTCCTATCGAGATGTCCTGTTGTAGTTTATAATCTGGCCATGGTTTGGCCTAGCCTGTCTCCAATGCAAATTATGAACTCCCCTGACAACCCCCAACTTAAACTAGCCCAGTCGCCATAGTGTGTGTATCGGTCCGTACTAGTATATTGCTCACTTCAGAACGGTATGTGCACCACGAGCCTCAAGAAACTGTTCGGCAGAAGTCTGTGGCAGGGACCGAATCAAAGCAAAGATCTCTTTGTTATAGTATCTCATTCGGGTCTTGGGGTCGATATACGGCGCAGGCAAGCCCGTGACATCGCAGTAGTGCTTGGAATGAGCCAATGACGGTGCTGATTCAATATTGGTATATGTCGCCGTCGGCGCAGAAGCAATCGCACCCGGTGGCTTCAAACTCTTTTCAAGTACCAGCTTTGAAAGGCTCCGTGATGCTTGAGCAAGATTAGGAGCCTGGTCTCGACCGTTGGTGGTCGCAGGTGTAGAGGTTCCGCTTGTGGACAAGCCATCATCTCTTGCAGGCGTGGCATTTCCGCTTCCCTCCTGAGGGGTCGCCAGAGCGGACGCTTCTCTTCTAGAGGCATCGCCTACAATGGCCTTGAGGTTCTTGTTTCGGCGCTGGTTGGGTTTCCAGTGCTGGTTTCGGAAGGTCTTGTGGATGGAGTGGATGTCGAGCTGCTCGATAAGCTGCTGGTGCTGGATTTGGGCTTCAGTGGGAGTGGCGGTGGCCATGTTGAGGAGCGTTGAGAAATGTGACGAGGTGGGCAGGCTTGTCTGGGGGTGAAGCGTATGTGACCCCTACATTTGAGACGACTGCAAATGCTTGATCACAGTTGTGGTCTGGATGGGCTAAGAAGTGATGAAGCCGAGTTAGAGTCGCATACTGTCGTCGTTCTGCCGCGTCTCACCGCATCTTAATGTGGTCACTGTCCACCTCCACCATGCTAACATCTATTGATGGAAACAGTGTGCGTGCATAGTCCATAACATTGCTGAGAGGAATTACAAAGATGGTAAGATTTCCTTCTCTGACACTCATTATTCCTGTTCATGGTCTTACATATCTTGAATACAGGAAAGCCCGCATGAGCACCAGCAGAACTTGTTGCTGTCCCGCATCGTGACCAACGTGGTACGCTACAGCTCGTCGTTCATACGCGACATGCGCTACCTAGGCTAATTATCGACTAGGAAAAATTAAATGAAGCAGTCATTGTCATGAATAAGAGCCTTCAGGTAAATATGGCGTCCCCAACCAGCAATGAGGAATAGAAAGCGTGGAACTCACACGTTAGCCAGGAAATTAATATTCAAAACATGAACGTCGAGTTGGTGGCGCAAATGTTTAAAAATTATCAATCAAATGTTCTTTTCCATCTGGAAGGTGAGTATCCGTGCCGCATGTCTGGAAAACGCGTGTTAACTCGTACATCAGCTACGGACAACCTCAAACCGCCGTCATAGCAATAGTATGGGCAAATGCATGAGGAACAAAAGCTTGGAAAGCGCCAGGCAGAGTCATAGGCTAGATGATGTGATGACAGCGAACGCCATATATATCTATACAATTCTGATTTCACCCCAAATTTCCCCATCAAATTGTAAAAATAAATAAAAAAGTAAAATAGTGAACAGCGCGTAAACACACACATTAAGCTTCACACTCTATGCCGCTCACCTTTGACCCAAGACCAGTGACTTGCAGGGGCGTGATAGTGCGAGACCCACCAAGAAGAGAGCCTCTCCCGTCATCAGCCTCGTAGCCTCGCATTGGCCCTTCTGGTTTCTTTTGACCTCCCAGAGGCGCCGTCAACACTCGAATTCCTTTGCTTGCCCATCAATTGCCGGTCACGCAAGCCAAGTGCATCACCGCAGGCGCCCTATTCGCCACACCGGCCGGATACGCTGACCCTCAACATGATTACTGCAGCTACCTGGTGATTCCGACTGAAGCTTTGCGACACAAAGACGCCATGGCTCCCTCTGCGATAGACGACCCAAAGCAACCACGGCCAGACGAGAAGGCGTATCCTCCTGCCAACATCTTCCCCGTCAAAGAGACTCGCTTCGAAAAGTACATTGAGCCTCAGGCTGATGGATACAAGAAGGCGTTTGAGCAACACAAGGGCAATGCTGCCATCGTGATTGATAATGGTAAGTGAGATGGATGATGAATCTGCAGGTCAGACCGTCAAGACACAGTCGAGTTAACACCTATGGTCGCAGGGTCTTCAGCCGTTCGCGCCGGGTGGTCATTCGAGTCGGCACCGCGATTCAGCATACCCCCGATAATGTCCAAGTATCGCGACCGCAAGCTTGGTAAGACTTTCTCGTTTGCCGGATCCGACTGCTATGCCGACACGACAGCTCGAGGCCATATCCGGGGGGCATTCGAAGCGGGCACTGGCATCGTGAGCAACTGGGACGTCATGGAGCATGTTCTGGACTATGTGTTTCTCAAACTAGGACTGAACGAATCAAGCGACGGAGTCGACGTCCCCATCGTCATGACAGAGGCAGTCGCCAACTTGCCATATTCAAGAAAATGTTTGTCAAAACTCACTGCACCCTTCACGAGAACTTGACAGCTAACAAGGGCCGTCCAGCAATGACTGAAATCATCTTCGAATGCTACGGTGCACCATCGCTGGCGTACGGCATTGACTCCCTCTTTTCGTACCGACAAAACAAGGGCAACACAGGCCTTGTGGTCTCGTCATCCTACACTTCAACGCACATAATCCCAGTATACAACGCGAAAGCGATGCTCGGACAGGCAATACGGCTCAACTGGGGAGGATACCATGGCGCCGAATATCTCCTCAAACTCATCCGCTTAAAATACCCAGCCTTCAACGCCAAACTAAACGTCTCACAGGCTGAGCACATGATTAGAGACCACTTTTACGTGTCAAAGAATTACGATGAAGAAATCAAAAGCTACCTAGACTGGACAGGTCTGGAAGACAGAGACGTCGTCATCCAGTACCCCTACACGGAGGAAGTTGTTGTTCAAAAAACCGAGGAGGAACTTGCTAGGATAGCAGAGCGTAAAAAGGAGAGTGGTCGTCGGTTACAACAACAGGCCGCCAAGATGCGACTGGAAAAGCTGATGAAGAAGGAACAGGATCTCGAGTACTACAAGAATCTCCAAGCCAAGCTCGTTGACGAAACCAAGAAGGAAATCCGCCGTCAGCTAGACAGCCACGAGATCAAGGATGAAAACCAACTCGACAAAATCGTCAAGGAGCTGGAAAAGTCCATCAAGAAGGCGCGCACAAAGGACGTCGGCGGCGACCCTGAAGAAGACCAGGAGCAGCCCAACTTTGACCTCCTTGACATCCCCGACGACCAGCTCGATGAGGCGCAAATCAAGCAGAAGCGCCAACAGCGACTCATGAAATCCAACCACGACGCTCGGGCACGTGCCAAAGCTGAAAAGGAGGCTGAAAAGGCACGAGTCGCTGAGGAGGAGCGTCTCGACAAGGAACGCCGCGAAAATGATCTCGACAACTGGCTCGAAGAGAAGCGTCAAGCTCGTCTCCAGACCCTCCAAAAGATCAAGGAGCGCGACCGCCTCAAAGCCGACCTAGGCAACCGCAAGTCTCTCGCCTCCCAGATCCGCATGAAGAGCATCGCCAACCTCGCGTCCGACAACCCCACCAAGAAGCGTCGCCGCGGCGGAGACGACGATGACTTTGGCGCCAACGACGACGACTGGGGCGTATATCGCCAAATCGCCGTCGGCGACAACAGCGAAGACGAGCAGGAAGAAGAAGACCTCGCCACCAACCTCAAGAACCTCGAGCAGGAGCTCCTCCAGTACGATCCAGACTTTGACTACGAGCAAACTCAGGAAGCACAATCAGACTGGTCCAAGTCCCTCCTGCACGCATTCGCACGCGGCCCGCGGCCCTTTGACCCAGCCTCCCAGGCACAGCTCAACCAAATCCATCTCAACGTGGAGCGCATCCGCGTCCCGGAGATTGTGTTCCGCCCGTCCATAGCAGGCGTCGACCAAGCGGGCATTATCGAAATCGCAGGCGACATGCTGAACCAGCGCCTGAGCGGGATGCCCGACCGCGACGCACTCCTAAAGGACATCTTCCTCACGGGTGGGAACACCATGTTCCAGAACTTTGACGAGCGAGTTCGTGAAGGGTTGAGGGCGCTGCTGCCTGCTGACTCGGAGTTGAAGGTGCGTCGAGCGCAGGATGCCTTGCTGGATGCATGGAAGGGCGCGGCGAGTTGGGCAGGGACGCCAGCATGGAAGGCAGCCACCATTACGAGGGAGGAGTATCGCGAAAAGGGACCAGAATATATCAAGGTACGTTTTTTATTGCGCCTGTCTTTGTGCAACGAGGCGGGGACCTTTTTTTTTTTTTTTTTTTCTTTTTTGGCTAACGTGGAGACACAGGAGCATGATATGGGCAACTCGTATGCTTAAATGGTTTTGTTATCGGCGAAGGGTATCGGAGTCAAAATGCGGCTGGCTTTAAGTGTCATGTATTCTATTTATGGGGAATCGTTAGGTACTGAATAGAGAAAATAATCCACACAAACATGACTAGAATCACCAATCAAGAAATAAGAATGGCACTTAGAAATGTAAAGAGATTCCATCGCGGCGTCTAGGAAGCCTAATAGGGGAGATGGTGAGGTTCTTGATAGAAAACGTCGGGTTCAGCGACCAGGGGAACATCTTCCTCCCAACATCCAGCCAGCAATGAAAACCTATTCCACAACACTCCCTTTCAAGCAAGATAAATATGTTCAACACCAACCCGCTGTACAAGTTTCTCTTGAGCCTTGCTCTCCTGTTGGGTTTAATAACCACCAACTGACAGCGAATTCACATAGCCATCGCAGCCATCAAGTTCCAACTTCATATCACATCGCCCAACTCCAATAACGCCATGGTGAATCAAGTAAGAAAGGGGTTTAGCATCAAGAACAGGTATCCCACAACGCCTCCGTAAAAAAAGGCTGACAGCCTGAAGAAGTCCATTAGGAAGGGGTCCCGTTCACAACCGTAGTTCATACTACACATCCGCCGGTCGACCAGAGTTTTCTTCGCTCTGTTGGTGAAGTTGTCTGTTGATTTCGTCGACTGTGCGACTATCTTCATCGCGTGGCTCAGGCTTATATTCGGGGCTGGGGTATCGCCCTTGGGATTCGGCCAATTGCTCCTGGGCAGCAAGACCAGCTACGGCCTGGGCAACAGCTTCAAGCGGCGTTCCAACTCCAGGGTTTGGCGCTGGCTCGGGTGCACTGGCAGGAGGAGGCTGGGCGGCGGAGGACTGGGAAAGATTCACATTGGGCGGCGGAGGCGGATACTCTCCTTGGGTATCAATGAGCCTCGATTGAAGATGGATAACGTACTCACGCAGGGCGTAGTTTTCGGCCTGCACGACTTTATACGTTTGCTCCATCTCGGCGTAATCTCGCACCTGCTGCTCAAGCTTCTTGATATAGCCCTCCTTGCGCTGTCTGAATGCTCTCTTTATATCCCACATTAGCTGCTATCCACCAAAAAAATTGTTCTTTGGTGCATATACGGTATCTGGGATCCAGAGTCAAATCAGAAGAAGACAAAACCTACCTGCGCAGCTCTGTTTTGCGCCGCACGCTTCGACTGAGAAAGCTCACGCTTTGCTTTTCTTCCGTCGCCGGCAGCGCCAGGTTCGGGAGCCGACGACGACGGAGCTGGGGCTATGGAAGCATTGGGCGGACCGGATGGACTGCCACCAGGGCTATGTCCAGAAGGAGGCCCCATGGGCATCATGTTGGATGGGTGGCCTGGAGTAGCTCGGAGATCTGGGTGAATATGCGACTCGGCTTGAGTCTTGCTCAAGGCGCGAGCAGCTTCGTGTGAGGCAGCGGCCAACTCCTCGTATCCATTCGCCGTTCGCGCCGGCGGAGAGTGCGAAAGAGCGCTTCTCGAGTCGCACGAGCCTGAAGCTGTCGAAGTTTCGGCGTCGTGACTCTGCAGGAGCTCCAGTTGTGCGCGCAAGTGCTGCTCTGCTCGGAGAAAGACCAATCCGTGTTAGCAAGGTCTGCTTCGGTCTGTTTCTCCCATAAACCCTCCCACGCAGTCTGGCACTTGGAAGAGCCTAGCCGACCAAGCAAGGCAACAGCCGTGCTGGCGTTCCAAATAAAAGTCAAAACGCAGCAATTGAGTATGGCTGTTGCCCAGAGGCTGCAGCACCAAGCAAATAGCAAATGGGTGTGCAAAGCCCCAAGCTGCTGCTCGTCACTTGACTGAGACGGCGAGCCTCGGCCAAGGAGCACACGGCAGCTCGCGCGACGGCGGAAAAGGTGATGCAATTCCGACAAAGCCTCGGGCAGGAATGAAACCATGCAGTTGGCGGGCGTGCAAGTGCTCACACACGTCCAAAAAAGAGGCACAGCGGTCGTGCGCAAGACAGAGGGGGAAAGATGATCTTGCTGACTTACCTTGATTCCCAGAACTCGATGGTTGCTGCATTGCTTGGATGGGATATTCTGACTCAGCATTCGAGATGCGCGAGGCGAGGATTACATACTACGGGAACGGAGTACGCAAGAGTCGAAGCTGCTGACGTGAACGTGGTGGGAAAAAAGAGGACCCCGGGGATGGGCAGGTGCGGACTAGCCTTTCTTGCCCTTTGGGCTGGGTGGGTAGGTGGCACACACACACATGCACAAGGCGCAGTCGCAGCTTCCATGAACATCTCGTTGGGCCAGGCAGTAGTACTCCGTAGCGGAGTATCGGAATCGGCTTATGTAATAAGATGACGCCGCCGGAAACGAAGCATTGCGTGGCTGGACTCGAAGATGCAACTAAGCATGGTGGACCACCACCCAAGGACGACATGGGGGGCGTCCACGACCAGAGAGCACAGCTGCTGCTTAATGTCGTCTCAACTCCATCCTCCCTGTTGTTCCCAGTTATGTCCGGACGACGAAACAACAGTACGTTTCGCGTCTCACTTCCGAGCAATGCCCAACCAATGCCAGCGCCAATATCAAGATGAAAGCTTAGCCCTCCTTTCTTGGCATTACCACACACCTCCATGACCCTGCTGGACTATCTGTCGCGCTGCTTCTCTAGTCTCCTGGAGACTTTCTGTTCGCCGGGCGGCGCCGGCAAAGCATCCAACATATTGGTTTGTCAGCAACAAGAGAACTTTGACAACAGCCAACGCTAAAAAAGCGGGTCAACAACTTGTCCTGTGGTCACCAGCTCGAGACTACCTGATTCTACGGAGTACCAGATGAGGAATATGCCTTGTCTGCGGTTAGCAAGTTCGAAGTGTGCGACGGGTCAAGTATGATTTACTCACTCAATCACTCTATTACCACAGCCGCATACAGCTGCTTCACGGTACTTCAACTAAACCAAGCGAGCAGCGCATCTTATCAGGACAAACCCAAACAACCGCCACCATACATATGTATCATTTTGGAAACAAGTCTGATGCCCATCCTTGTTTACACACCGTCATTCCCGTGCTCTCGGGTAGTGCCCGAATGTATTGGCAGCAACAGACGTTCTCATGCACCTTTGGGCGTTATGTCACCCACCTGCCATTACGGATTACCGGAGTGGTAGATTATTCGTCTCGCCAAACTTACCCGAGGCCGGAGTCACCGGAAACCAGGGTGACAACCTCCCGCCCCCTCCAGCAGTCTTTCAGCTCCGTCGGCTGGACGAGTTGCAATGCGTTATCTGGTACACAGCCCAGAAAGGAACCAGCATGTATGTCCGATAGAGTCTTGGTAAAGTAGATATGTCGCGCATAGGTATTCGGCCTGGGGCGGAAAAGGCGTTCTTGCAGTATGCTGCTATTTCATCAACACCCGTTCACAGATGCCTTGGTACCCTGCATCATATCAACGAAGGCCTGACAAGATACAATGCCTTATACCAGTGCAGTGTATCACTCTACACTGTCAAGAGCTCGGCCAGCACGAAACTCACCCAGTCATATCTAAACTCTGCCCACGGCTTAAATCCCGTCTGAAGCCTTTAGAAATCGTTCAGTAGTTGCCAGAATTACTTGATTCTCGATTCATCCGAGCACGCCGCCACGAAACCGCAAATACGACTTGAACGGAGTACTGTAAATTATGTAAATTATGTCTACAATTTTCAAAGTTATTCAAAGTATCAGTAACACGTCCTCATCACCAAACATCCTCCATCTCTTCCGTCGACACTCCTCACACAGGCGGCAACCTATCCGAAGTAGACTTGAACAATCTTCCCCCTTTCCAGACATGCGTAACATTCTCCGGGTTCGTAAGCACACTAATATCATCCAAGGGATTCATCTTAACGGCAATCACGTCCGCATCATATCCCTCCTTCAGCTGCCCACTGAGCGGCGCAAGACCACCCAGCGTTAGCGGCCCATTTGCCGTCGCGCTCTCAATCGCCTGCAAGGGCGTCATCCCCAGTTCAACCGCATACACAAGCTCATTTGCGTTATGACCGTGCGAAAGCCTCGATTTGCGATCGCTGCTCGCCATGTCTGTCCCCAGAGCGATCTTGACGCCCTTCCTGATGGCAAGCTTGTATGACTCCTTGGACTTGTCGATCAGACCGAGCAGTTTCCGCTTATTAGGCTCCGGGAGTTGGTCCATGTAGTCAGCGGCCAAGACCCGGACAATGTGCTGCGTAGGGACGAAGATGGCGTCCTGCTTGACCATGACGTCGGCAACTTCCTCATCTATGTACATGCCGTGTTCAATAGTTTTCACGCCAGCCCGGAGGCCGGCGAGAATGCCTGCTTTGCCAATGGCGTGGGCGGCAACAGCGCGCCGACTCCGGCCTGCTTCTTCGACAATGGCCTTGAGTTCTGCGTCGGAGAATTGCCGGTCCTCAGGGTCGTCGTTCAGACTGAGGACTCCTCCGCTGGAACACACCTTGATGACGCGGGCGCCGCGGCGGACCATTCTCCTGACCATCCTTGTGCAATCTTCTACGCCGTCGCAGACTGCAAGCGGCATGCTTCCGTACGTCATGGCCTCGACCACGGTTGTCAGGGGGGTATTGTGTTCGTCCCCGTGTCCGCCGGTAATGGACATGATGCCAATGGCCGAGTAGATATTCGGGCCCACGAGCGGTCCATTCTGTACGCCGGGCCACACATCCCCCCCGTAGCCGCCGAGCTCTCGGACAGACGTGTATCCCGCGTTCAGGGTGGCTTTCAAATCATCCACGGTGATGGCGCCGGCGAGTGCGCTGAAGCCAGGCAGGAAGCCCACCAGCCCGGACACCGAGCTCGCAACGTCAAGCGCGACGAAGTGGACGTGGCAGTCCCACAGGCCGGGCATGAGGACATGGACATATGTCGGGTTGATGTCATGGTACTTGGAGGGACGGTTCAGAAACGAGCCCACCCACTCGATTTTGCCGCCGCGCATGGCGAGGGCGCCGTTTTGGATGGGCTCGCCTCTTCCGGGGATAAGGAGCTGCGCCCAGAGGAGGGTTGTGGTGGACTCGTCTTTGTGTGCGGCCACGTCGATGTGCGACTCTGGGAGGTTTTGCTTGCGGATTGGGACTCGCATGTTGGTGGTGGATTGATAGGGTAGCTCTTATATCGGAGTGTCTGAGGGAGTGCAATTGGGCCACGGTGATGGAAGGACAGTGCTCAATTGGAGCATGGATTGCAAATACTAATTTCCTTCTCAAATCAGAAGCATGTTTGGAGTTGGAAAGTCAAGCTTTGACGGTTGCTCTCCTCCCTGCGAGTTTGGCAAGCCGTGTAACCTCGTCGAGGTGGCTGGCGGAGACGGGTACAGCTGCCGAGATCGAAACCATGGCGTATCATTCTGCAGTTTCACATAACCAATTTACCGAATGAGATGGAGATTCAGGCTTCATTTTTTTTTTTTACGATTTGGCGTTTCTTCGTGATGACTAGATATCGTGCATCAACTCAAGCAGCAATAAATGAGATGGACGACATGTGCGGGACCCTTGAGCTCCCAACATGGCAACTCTCTCCCTCCACCAGCCATCCCAACTTTCAAACTTGAACCACACCACATCAACCCCGACATCCTATACCATCGATATCATGTCCCGCCTACTGCGAGGAACAACACTCACCCGCACCGTTCTCTCGCGCACCCACCCCTCCGCAAGATACTCCACAATGCAGCCCAGGTTCTCGCCCGGCACCGACGAAACCTCCACCGCATCAGCGCTCGCGCCTCTCCTAACTTCATCCGGGGGCCGATGGACGCTATCTTCCGAGGGGAAGGCCCTAGAACGAAGCTTCAAGTTCAAGACGTTTGCCAAGACATGGGTATGCCGTGCTGCAGCCGCGAGCTCTGAAAACCCGGACCAGTGGCTGAAATATCTTTGGTGTAGGATTTCATGACTGCCGTGTCGTTGCAGTGTAAACTCAAGAACCACCATCCCGAATGGTCAAATGTACGCGTTTTCTTGATGTTCCTTCCGTGAGAAGTTCTGGTCTGATGGGACGAGGGCGCAGGTCTATAATACTACGTTTATTCGGTGGACGACGCATAATCCCCTGGGGCTGTCGGAGAAGGATGTCAGATTGGCTGGGATCTGTGATGCCCTTGCCAAGGACTTTGGGGAACTGGACCCGGAGCCTGCGAGCCGTGAGGTCAAGGGGCTTGCGGACAAGGCTTCCTCTTCTTCGGGCGATTGCTGCACGCCAAGGAAAGAGAAGTAATGGTCGTGCGGACGCTGTGAAGGGAATCAGTTGGATCTTGGTGCACTTGGAGGCCGTATAATGATCCCTTGTACGAACATTAATGGCATCGTACATTATGCCGTCCGAGCTTCGTGTTGCATGTACGCCATTTTGAAGACACACTTGCTTCAATGTGGTTCAAGGGGTCGCCAAATCAATCAAGCGAACGGCTGAGTAAGAATTATTAACTAATTTCATCTAAGGGCTCCCGCGGGCATGCCACAACCAAATATTATATATACAATAAAATCATGTAATGCCAAACTCAGTCCGCAACTTCCCAAAAACGCCATAGCGAACGCCTTCAAGACTGGGCGTGGGCCGCATGATATGCATGACCATTAATCTATAGTTGTTTTCGACGTCTCTTTTCAAGGTCTCTCTTCTCCTGCCATGCGCCATCTCTCCAAGAGATGCCGTCCCTATCAACGCGCTGAACGTATACCTATCATCGTTGAGATTTTGGAAGGAGAAAAAAAACTGCAAAATTTACCGACATTTGGCAAATTGTACTAGTTAATTCTCCTTCTTGGCGTCCTTGATAGCCTTGAGCTTTCGCTCACGGCGCCTCTTGTTGGCCTCGGGACCGGCCTCGGTGTCTAGGAAAAAGTCCCACCAGCGGAAGCTGGAGGCGTAGTTTCCAATGAACTTCTCGTGGTGCATGTCGTGGTGATCGGCACCGGCCCAGAAGGGCAGGATGTGGCGCAAGCTCCAGGGGAAGTCGTAGCCGCTGTGGGCATCGATGGCCTGGAAGAGACGAAGGATGATCCAGACATACATGGTGACGAGATGAAGGTCACCGGTGACGGAGAGCAGAATAATAGGAGAACCAACGACACCCATGCCGAGGAGCATAGTCTCAATAGGCGAAGCGTACTCGGCGGCCAGACCAAATGGAGCAGAATAGGTGTGGTGCATCTTGTGAATAGCCTTATAAAGAGGTCCGTAGTGCAGAGCTCGATGGAACCAGTAGTGCCAGGTATCCTCCATGACGAATAGGATGGAAATTTGGATGGCCATCTTCAGGAGAGATGGGAATGGCACGCCGTAATCCATGCCAAAATAGGTAGCAATGGGGTGGAACACCCAAATCTGAGGAAGCTCGGCGGTGAAGTGGCTGATGAGGACAATGGCGGCACAATCCCACTGTTCTTTCAAAGTCGGGATCTTCTGGCTTTGGATCTTGTACTTGTGGAAGTAGGGAATTTTATCCATAATCATAAAGGGCAGGCAGCGGCCAAAGTAGACAAGTTCGTGCATGACGAAGCTCATGATGCCGGTCGCAAGGGTATCGTTCTGCATATATAAATACCACGCCTATCAGTTGGTCAGCAATCGTATCCGCCGAACAATGGCTCACGAAGATGTCAATATGCCAGGGGAACATGAGTGAGACGCGGTGGCGAGAGCAGCACGTACTGCCCAGAGACGCTCGAAATAGTTGAGGTTAACATTGTACTTGGAGACCTCCTCGAAGACACTGAAATAATCCTGAGTTTGGTTCAGGGCGCCAACGGTGGAGTTGCTGCGAGATTGAACCTCTTGTTAGCATTGCCGTGGTTTGTCATTTTCGACAAAAAGGGGTCATGTTGAGGGACGGCCAGAACTCACACCAGGTCCATAGGGACGATAGACGAGACAAGCAGTGTCTCGTCGGAAGCAGGATATTACAAAAAGAGCAGAATGCTGAATGAGGGGTATGCGCGAAAACAACAATGCGCAAGAGGTGTATGAGAAGAAAACAGACAGTGACACACAAGGAAGAGAGATGATTGATTGAGCTGAGGAACCGCGACAGTGGGGGACGTGTGAGATTTTATCACGGTTCATTTAACATGTTTTTTGCTACCCGTTCATTTCTGGCCTGATTAGTGTAGATTCTCAGGGGACCATGCAATCAAACCGCCACCCAGAGAAGTTCTTCGAGGACCCTGCCAGGTACCCTTGGTTGTGGCTGGAGCGGTAAATGCACAGCCTGGTACTTGGTAGGTACCGCCCGTGCTAGATCGCACATGATCGCCCCTCCGATGGAGCATGGCCATTCTGTCGGCTTGCGAGGAACCGACTGCACGAGAATGCGCAGACTTTCTCAGCACTGCTGGTTGGGTGGCTCGAGAATGGTGCCACCTCCAGTAGTGCTTCCCGTCTTCCGGCAGCCAACCAGCTGTCACCTTGCGATATCGATAAGACTTGATACAAAATACGAATACGCAGTCGTGATGCACCACGGCGCGTTGCCACCCAATTTGCTTGTTTGCCTGTTCTGGGATGGATGATGGTCTCATCCATGCGATTGTTGTGGTCTTCACCAGAACATCAAGTTGTTAACCTACTCAACCCACCTGTGGTCCGACTTGTTTGAGAAAGAGTTGACGTCTCTCTCTCTGACAAACCCCGTCTTTGTTTGTCTCTGCTGAATGCCTTAAACGTTCTTGCTCCTTGTCCCCAATCCCTCCTGCTGCCTCGAATCCGAACACGAGGGTCGTCAGGCTCGAGCCCCACGCGACCGCCAACCAATCTGACGGGATCTTTCCTGGTCATGCACGTCCAAGTCTGCTTTTTGTTTCTTCCGCCCCAGCTATTTTCAGTAATAAACAAAGCAATAATTGTTCCTCGTCGGCTGCTCGTCGTCCCGGCACTCCACGCATGGTGTGACGAGCCTGTCAACTGTAATCGCCTTTGCTGACTGACCTCTGCTTTGTTCCTGATTCGCTCCCCCACATCGTCTTTCAGAATCACCAGATTTCCCGCCTGGTCGGTTCGATCCATGCCGATTGAGGCTCTGTCAGTCTGGCACTAGCCCCCCGCCGCGTTGTGAGCCAAGCCGCACACCAGGGCATTCGTTTCCGGCTGACGGGCCTCATTTCTCCTCATCGTCGGTGTCCTGTATCATGTCACTGGTGTCTGAGTAAGTACAAGTACCCATTTGCTGGCGGTTCTCCTTTGTCCCGTGTTGACTTACCTTCGTTGGTTCCCAGCCAAGTACGCCGTCTGGATGCCTATCTGGATCGGTTGCCGGTGATATCAGAAGCCGCATCGGATGATGGTCGGTCTGATGTAGAAGAGCGTGCATTCGTCACTACTGAGGCGCTCACTTCTCCAAGGTTGGATGAGTTGCTTCGGATTGTTCAGTCCCTGAGTGCCACTTCTGCCTCCGATTCTGTGCTTCCACTGCATCGTGTCAAGGCTCTCCTCGCGCAGTCCGGGCTGCCATCTTTGCAACCGCATGGCATCAACCAACTTGACCAAACAGAGCAACCAGTGGTCAAGAGTGCTTACGAGGATGAGATTGAATGGCTGCTAGTAACCAAGGCCACCGTCCACATATACGGCGCCATTCTCAACTCCCTGCTGGATCAAATCATTCCACTCAACGACGATATTTGGTATTGGTCGGATGTGCTGAACTCGTACACCTACAGCAGTCTTTATACTGTCCAGACGTCGCCAGTTCGGTTTTGGGCGTGGACCCTGGAAGTATACAGCGCAAGCAAGATGCGCTTGCAGTCCCTGTCCGTCAGAGACTCGCCCGTTGAATTTGTCGACTCTACTGCCGCCGGCCTATCGCAGCAATGGCGTCAGTTTTATAGCATTGTGCGCGACACTATTCGAGAGCGCTCCTTTGCCAACATCCAACGGAAGGTCCTCTCACCCGTGGCGTTTTGTCGGTCGGAAGCCCGTCGAAAGCAAGCCCATCTCCGTAAGCTGCGAGAAATCACAGCCAGCGGACTTGGGGTGTTGATGGACGAGGGGCTTCAGTTTGGTCATGACGATGACAAGGCAGACATGCATGACAGTCATGATCTCAAAGGCGTGGTTGAGCGCAGCGTTGCATTGATGGATATGGTTCTGAAGGAAGTCTGTACCCTGGACGTGAACATTCATGACTTTGAAGATAAAGTCTTCGCCGGTGTGGAAGAAGACCCTGAGTTGTCCGTGCACTTGGAAGAGAGTGTCACGCTGGACCGCCCAGCTGTGTTGTCTCGTCGGCTCTTGCGCATAATAGACAAGACCCTTCCGGATCATTTCAACAACATGCAGAGTCTGGCTAGGGAGAATGGCCGACCGTCACAACTCATCAGATATTGGCTTCCAACAATGGTGGGGGTCTTGTCGTCTACTACTGTTTTGCGCATCCTGATCAACCGTCAAGACGAAATCATCAACTGGATTACGAACCTTGGCGGTACAATCCGGGACTTCTGGTTCAACTGGGTTGTGCAGCCAACGACAAAGGTTATCAGGACTATCCGCCATGACTCGACAAGTGACATTGCCATCATGAGCCGAGATAGTCTGAAAGCCGACCGCGAAAGTTTGGAACGAATGGTGGTGGATTTTGCCAAGGACAAGCCGCACTTTGCTTTTGAAGGGAATTCCTCCATAACGGATATTCAACTGGCCGAAATTCGAAACAAGGTTGCCGAAGGGGATGTGACTCCTGTGCTGAGGGCGTACGAGCAAGACCTTCGCAGCCCCTTTGTTGGCGCAGTCCGCGGCGACCTGGTCCGGTCGCTGCTGATTCAGGTGCAAAAGACCAAGGTCGATTTGGAAGTGGCCATGACCGGCATTGACTCTCTCCTGAAGAGCCAAGAGCTAGTGTTTGGCTTTGTGGGTTTGACGCCAGGAGTTTTGGTGTCAATTGGTGTGCTTCAGTATCTACGGGGCATATTTGGAGGACGAAGCGGCTTGCGACGAGACAAGAAGTCAGGCAGGGCTGTGCGAATCCTGCGGAACATCGACAGAATATTATCGGAAGCCAGGCCGACAGAGAACAATGTTTTATCCTACAAGGACCACGGCTTGCTGCTATGTGAAGTACACATACTGCGCAGCTATGCAAGCAACTTGATGCCTCGGGATGTCGAAAAGGATTTTTTGGAAGATCTTGACGATCTGGCCAATATCAAGGGCATACAAGTGCAGACCAAGGCATTGGAGCGAATCCGATGGGCGTATGCTAGGTGGCTCAAATGAGGACATGGCTGTACATATTTTCTTTCTTCATGGATTTACACAATCACACATGCATGGCATAGCGCTTCAGGTGGAACTTTTAGGGCAGATTACATACAGTATTAACAAGGAAATGCATACAGGGGTTCAATTTGACTTGTTACCGGCGACCGCGGAGTTGCGAAATCCCTCGTCATTGGGGTTGCTATCTTATCGCCAACACCAGCCAACCACTTGAGTTTGTCTTATCAGCTCGAATTCCTTTTTCACTTAAGGGTCCCATGATGGCTTGCAAACATAGATTGCCCACTTGTAGATTATTATCTCCCCAGATCTTCCCCATGGTGATTTTGATAGTCCGCCTTGACTTTTATTCAACCATGCTCTGCCAAAACTCCAGATGCTTCCTCTTGTTACAAAAGGGAAAAAAAAAAAAAAAAGAAAAAAAAAATCGCTATGCGGACGCCCCCATGCAAATAAAACCTCATACATGTACAGCCGAGGTTTGGTATAAATAACCCGGAATCCAGATCCTATACTTCTTCTAAAGACACAGGCCCTCATACTCTTTCACCAGCATCTCCTTCCCTTTCTTCCTTCTCCTTGAGTTCCTTGAGACAAGGGGCAAAAAACAAGTCGCCTCTGACGGCTAGACAAAGCGTCCTGCTGGCAACCATCATCCAGAGAAGAAGTACGGACAGCGAAATAATCTATCGCCTGAGTTAGCAGACGTGGAACAACACTTGGAGAAACGCGGCACATGCACGCAAACTCACCGTCGTGGCAACCTTGAAGAATTCACTGTCCAAGTTAATCGCCAGCATGCTCGTGCATGTCGCCCACACGCCCAGCGGGAAGGTGAACCCCCACCAGCCCATATTGAAGGGGAAATCGCGAATCGTCGCCAGGCTGATGAGCGCAAAGCACACCCACACAAGAGCGAACCCCCACAAGACCATGCCTAAAAATACGCCTAGCACGTATAGGATCTCAGCACCGCGCGCGACGTCCACGCCGATTGTTTTGAAGGCTGGTGTTGCTGGGAGCAGCTTCACGGCTACTTTGCCCAGCTGCTGGATGCCAAAGCCGCCTTGGCCGAGCGGCCCGACGGGCAGGAAGACGGACACGATGACCTCCTTGGGCGGGAGAGAGTGGATGGTCAGCCGGTGGAAGTAGAGGGCCAGGACGCAGGCGGACAGACACTCGCCGATGCCCCAGAGGATGTACGAGGCAATCAGAGTGGTGAATGCGTGTTGGTGGTTGGGCAGCGCCTCGGCAACGATGCCCCCGGTGGCGGCGGCAACGACTGTCGGCACAATGGGGAGCAGCAGAGCGGCGGTGGTGTTGTTCAGGCCCGGTTTATGGCGGTGCATGACGATGAAGGGCATGGTTATGGCGGTGGCCATGGAGAGGAGCACGTCTATCCACCAGAATGCCCAGGCGAGGTAGACGAGCCAGTCGCCCCATTGTGCGCAGCTGAATATCATCATGTTGATGATGGCTGTTTGTGAAAAGTCAGCATGTTGCGTGTGAAAGAAAATCAAGAAAGAAAAAGGTGCCGGGATATCACCCCAAGTGAGTGATGTGATGGTTGGATTATGGAGGCGCTGAGACATACTGGCAAAACCCATTGGGAAACAACCCAGGAATAACGACTGTCCTGGATGCGAAATCATGGCCCGCCATATGCCGGGATAGGCGATATACCGCACCAGGGAGATGCACGAGAATGCTACGAAGAGAAGGATGTTGAGGCCGAAGAAGATGTAACTTATGAACCGGAGCCATTGGCCATTATATGGCAGATTGTGGAGGAGGATGGAAACGATGCCAGTCCCCATGTTGACTGCAAACCATCTATGACAGGAACAATGGTTAGTTTCCCACGTCTCTCTCATAACCGGTACCGTCGTCCCAGCACAAATTACTGTACAGGGCAACAACGAGGCCAGCATGACGGTGATGGACTCACGAAGGCGTAAAGTTGCGAATGATGCGCCGCCATCCCCGTTCCTGCAGCTCCCTCGCTTTCTTCTGACACGGCGTCTCTTCAAGCGGCGAGACTCCCGCAGGCGCTCCGTCTTCCATGTCGCTGGCGTTGTGGTCCGCCACGTCATGGGTGCTCATGGCACAGGTTGAGTTTTCCGACAAGTACGAGAGCCCATCCGGCATGGCGGCTGGACAGGTGTCGCAGGTGTCGCAGGTGTCGCCAAGTAACGTGCCAAGGACAAGCAATGCCTTTTCTCGACGCTCCAAAGCTATCTTCTTGGCAAGGATTCAAAATACTGGCGGCATCCGAGACGGGAACGAATCCGAAAATGACGTGGACTGGGCCGTCCTTTTAAGCGGCCGATGGCTTTCCACAGCAGAAAACTTGACGCCTCCGTCCAAGCCGACATTGGACCGGAGAAAGCGCCTCTGTGCAGACAGCCGCCAAGCCCCCCTCCTCCAGGTGCCGTTTCCTGCGGCCAGCTGGCCCTACTCGTCGCCGAAGGGTACCGGAAGGCCAGACCAACGCGGCCCTTCCTTCCATGTTGGGCATTCTATGCCCTGTGTCCTGTGTCGCCATGTGTGACTGTGCCGCGTCCCCGTCGGCTGTCCATGCCGGGCCACTGGAGTGCTGAGCACTGAGCACTTCTCGCGTCAGTGGTCCTTTGTTACACCAGGGAGAGCCTGCCGGCCGTGATCAGCAAAAACCTGTCAAGTCAAGATTGCATTTCCGCGGCATGCAAGAGCCACTTTCCAAAGTCGGGCGGGATGCCCACTCTGCTCCGAGGCGGCCCCCGAGATGTGACTAATAATAATCAGTGCCGGAAATGCTAGCCGTCGCGGCGGGAATAAAGCCGTCTACTCGGATCGCCTACTTAAAGTAACTAGGTACTTAAGTACGCTGTACGGAGTATCCCGCAGTGAATCGTGTTCTCAACTTGTACCCCGTACAACGGCAAGGCGGCTGTCGGTGGATGGCGGTCGGCCTTGGTGTTCCATGTCGCCTCCACTGCCACACGATACTCTGGCCCGGTCAATTACTACTGGTGTCAACTGGTCCCTTCCCTTGGGGTGCCCAGGTGCCGTCTCCAGGGCGCGCTTGGTGCCGAATTCCCGCCCCTTCGACCCATTTTCAGCGCTCTTTGGGCGTGGCTCCAGAGTCGTCACCAACTAAAGTAGAGACCAGCTGGCTGGGAGCAAGTACAAGTAACTCCGTACCAAGTAGACAAAACTATTCCTCGACACGAGTTCTGTCCACTTTTTTTACTGGCCACTCGAGTCATCGGGCTGCCTAAGTACTAAGCACTTACGGGCCATGAGCTTAATTTCGCATTGGCGCACCAAAAGTTTAGAGTTTGAGGATAATCAAATGCCGTCTCAAAACTACCTCACCCGACAGCTGCAAAATACTCTACTTATGTAATTATAGAAGACTAAACCCTTTTGATGATTCGCTTCTCGTAAAATACTTACTCACTGCACAATTTCAGTGCGCGCTTCGGCTCTCACAGCCTTTGCTCCCTGTTTCCCGGCCGTCTCTTCGCCTCCGGTATCCGTGCCTACTTGAGCGCATCTCAACACTGCCTTCCAGGCGGGGGTGCCCACTTTTCGTCTCTGCAGGTGACCAATCATATCGCATCGTTGTCGTCGCAACCCATCAGCCCTCAAGGTTTCCCACGTCGATTGAAGCCATTCCTGCTCTTTTTGGCCATTCGTGGGCGGTCGGACGAAAATGTTTTGGACACGATACCCCACCGTCTGACGCCGGTGATACTATCCACCGACACTACCCAGACACTCAGGTGACCTTGGCGGCTCACAGTAGGGAGTCGGCGTTTCCCCCATCTCCACTGATAGGAAACGCCTGATGCCTTGTCGACGTGCTGTCCTTTTCTGTTGTTGCCCATCGTCAGATAATGCATAAAGGCATCTTGAGTCCCATATTCCCTCCACGCATCATCAATCACTCATCGTTAGAGCAATCAATCATGGCCATCGACGTCATCTCCAGCGCCCTCTCCGTCAACAGCAAGTCTGCTGCGACGTTCCCACAGGCCGACAAGTTCGAGGAACTCGTCCTGGCGATGAAGAAGGTCCTCGGCCCCTCATCAGGACTAACCTCGGATGATGTGGACGTAGGCTCGTTGACCGATCTGATGATCAACTATGATAGTAATCCCATAGAGTGGTCCAAGTATGCCTATGGTGATGCCAGTCGGGGGTACACCCGCAATCTCGTCGACGAGGGCAATGGCAAGAGCAACTTGGTAAGTTGTCGCTGCCTGATGATAACTGTGCCTTTCCAAATACATGACTGATTGATGTTGTCTCGCGATGTATAGTTGGTTCTCGTATGGTCCCCCGGTAAAGGGAGTCCCATCCATGATCACGGCAATGCTCATTGCCTGATGAAGATCCTGCACGGCAGTCTAACTGAAACCCGCTACGCCTTTCCTGAAGACGATGATGAAGAGGGACCCATGCGGGTCATCTCGGAGAAGACATATAAAGAAAATGGTGTCACTTACATGGCCGACGAACTTGGCTTGCACCGCGTATCTAATAGGGGCAGCGACTTTGCTGTCTCCTTGCATTGTACGTCCTCGCCGACGCTCAATCCCTCATGCAACACTTGTCAGCAAACTAACTAGCAACTTTGCCAGTGTACACTCCCCCTAACGTAGCCAAAGAGGGATGCCACATCTTCGATGAGAAGACTGGCAAGAGTAGCCATGTGCCTGGATGCCATTACTACTCAGCGTACGGTCGTCTGCTCAAGTAAGGGATCAAGGAAGGGATAAAGTCGCTCTGTGCGAAGATGTTCTCATGTCGGCATATGTCTGTTTCTTTGGCGTGTCCAGCGTTTTGATTTTTCCTTCTTCTTCTCTGCTCTTTGCCCACTCGAGGCCATTCAGCCCTGGCTTGCCGGCTCAAAGCTTCCTTCGTGGCTGCTGTGGAGTCTGAGCATTCTGGTCCGAATTCTGAGTTAGCGACGTCTTTTTGTAATGATAGCATGACATTAGGGTATGCAATGAAAGCTCCCAATTCTTAGAATGCTTCCAGAGTCCCAAAATGAGTGTGGAGTGAAGTTGAAAGAGAAAGAAGTGGTTGATGAGATGTCGTTGCTCTTCATACCCTTCCTTTGGGCTGGCTCATCGATTGCGTGATTGCCGCTAGCCCTGAACAGGCTGTTAGTGGGTCGACCGACAGCCTACGCTGGTTTGGCTGATGACGAAAAAAAATATTATCACGTGATTTCGCGTGAGCTTCAGTCGCGTTTGAGAACTCAGGGATCGCGCTAGGCAAAATCAGGACTTAGGAGTGTCAATTGAGCGGTGCTATTCGCAGCTGTTGTATTGTGAATTGCGAGTGCATTGACAGGTGTCAAGCAGTTTTCTAGAAGTTTCAGATTTTGTACTTTTTTACATTTCGATCTTGCTGTTTTCACTTCGGGAACTCTGCCAACGACATCGTCGTAAGTATCTGATATGCCAACCAACTTCTAAACTTCTATTCACAATAACATTCGACGCTAACCCAATATTCAAGCACAGCCACCATGTCAGGTTCCAGAAAACGAGGCTTGAATGTGGTAGACCTCACTGGCGATGATTCAGGTCGACAGGCCAAACGTCAATCGGCTGCTCCCGTATCCTCTTCCACTGGCGTAGGTGGAACATTTGTTTACAATACTTTGTCAAATGGGGCAGGCGATTTACCAGGTCCCGGATCGCAGAATGGCCGGTCACCTCTTTCTTCCAGTCAGCCTCTTACGACGTCTCAGATGGCTGATTACGAACGTGAGGTTTTGGATTTGACTCAGGACGACGAAGGGCCAGTCAGAGAGCTCTATGGCACGTTTGGTAAGAACACTCTAATTTCGTTCAACAATCAAACCCTTACACTTGGCATTAGAAACGAAAATTGTCGGCATTCAGTATTATAGAGGACATGCATCCACTGGGGAAGTTGTGCTCTGTCGCAGAGAACCTGCAAATCAGGTTAGTTTCAGGAAGTTAAGCTATATGTAGCAAGTTTACCCAGGTCCTCTAACATTCAGCCTTAGTATGATCGCAACGCAATCCGCATAGACAATGTCATGTACCAACAGATCGGACATCTGCCACGCAAAGTTGTGGAAAAAATCGCTCCGTATATTGTATGCCACCTCTTTCAGATGCTCGAGGCCATAGTATTAACACTTGGGGACAGGACTGCGGAGATATTCTTCTTGAAGCGCAGCTCACAGGACCAAAAGGCCAATACGACTGCCCGGTAACGCTGTCCTTTTATGGGCCTAGCAATCCGTTGGAAAGAACCAGAATCGAAAATTCACTGAAAGGTGATAAACTTGTGAAGGCTACTCAGCTCAACAAGACAAGAAAAGAGTCAGAAGCTCAGAGGGCTGTAATGGGCTTGAAGGCTGGAGGAACTACGCATGGCATGGGTTCCGCAAGCCCCAAAGAGCCAGAGATATCTCTGGAGGATATCTTAAAAAAGAGCCAATCAGTAGAGTTCCGAGATGGGATAGATGCTCTGAAGACGTTTGCTACAGATGAAGAGTACTTGCGTAACATGCCCAGCTGTGATCAGCCAGCCGCGCTGAAGGCAACTCTATTGCCCTATCAACTACAAGTAAGTTGGCATGATTTTTATGTCAACCCTCTGACTTCGCTAACACTAGGCTAGGGATTAGCATGGATGACTTCAAAGGAGAACCCCGCTTTGCCGACCAAGGAATTAGGCAACCAAGTTCAATTATGGAAACAGAACATCAGAGGAAATTACTGGAATGTCGCCACGGACTTTGTGAGCGCGACAGCTCCCCAGCTCTTTTCGGGGGGGATTTTAGCCGACGATATGGGTCTTGGCAAGACTCTTCAGATTCTCAGCTTGATTTTGACAGGAGGTTCCGGTACCACTTTGATAGTTGCACCTGTTGGTGTCATGTCGAACTGGCAACAACAGATCGATAGGCATGTCAAGTCGGAGCATCTACCGAGAGTGCTGGTCTACCATGGGGACAAGAAAATGACCGCGAAGGAGCTCATGAACTTCGACGTTGTCATCACAAGCTATGGCAAGTTGGCCCGCGAAAAGGATTCAAATGTTCCTCAAGTTTTGCTGTCACAAAGCATACGGTGGAAACGTGTGGTTCTCGATGAGGGGCACACAATCCGTAATGCGAGAACAAAGGTCGCGTTGGCCGCGTGTGCCATCAAGGCCAAATCTCGATGGGTACTGACTGGAACCCCGATGTGAGTTGATATAGCTAAATATTCAGCAATTCGGTGGTACTAACTAGTTCACAGCATCAACTCTGTGAAAGATTTGCAGTCTCTCATAAAGTTTCTACATATTACCGGCGGCATCGAGCATCCAGAAATTTTCAATACGAGAATTACGAGGAGATTAGTTTCCGGTGATGCCAGCGCTGAAATTATGCTGCAGGCTCTGATGCAGGATATCTGCCTACGGCGCAAGAAGGACATGAAATTTGTAGATCTGAAAATACCCGAAAAAAAGGAATACCTTCATAGGATCACTTTTCACCCTGAAGAGAAAAGGAAGTATGAGGCATTACTGTGAGTAACTCATGAAGAAGTCTACTTAAGTTGACGGGGTGTTGACGGCTTGTTTAGTACGGAGGCACGTGGTGCTCTGGCAGACTACCAGGCCAAGGCAGCCGGTCAGAAGGGACAGTTCCAAGGCGTCCTAGAGCGGCTTTTAAGGTTGCGACAGAGGTGAATTCGCTTCTTCCCTTCGAGACATCACGCAGGCTAACAAGACGTCCAAGTTGCAACCACTGGACCCTATGCAAGGACCGTATTAACCAGCTGATGGAGCTGTTCGAAGGCCAAGAACCTGTACCATTCAATGAGAAGAATACTGCATTGCTACAGGAAGCTCTTCGGCTTTACTTGGAGAGTCAGGAAGACTGCTCCATTTGTTTCGACGTTCCCACTGCTCCAGTCATAACAAATTGCGGGCATGTTTTCTGTCGAGCTTGTATCACAAAAGCTATCCATTTACAACACAAATGCCCAATGTGCAGAAACAAACTTTCGGATGAATGTCTACTCGAACCAGCAGCAGAGGGTTCCTTTGATAAGAACTTTGATATGGCCACTCAAAGTTCCAAGACGGAGGCAATGATGCAGATTCTCCAGGCAACATTGAAAAAGGATGGGTCAAAGGTGGTCATCTTTTCCCAATGGACGTCATTTCTGAACATTATCCAGAACCAATTGGATATCGCCGGAATCAAATACAGCCGCATAGACGGCAGTATGAACACGGAGAAACGTGATCGTGCAGTCCGGGCACTAGATAACGACGCCGAAACTCGCGTCATGCTAGCTAGCTTGGCGGTTTGCAGTGTCGGGTTGAATCTTGTATCTGCAGATACTGTCATTTTGTCTGACAGCTGTAAGTGCCACTTTGTTTGAGGCTAACTTCTCATAGCTAACAAGACTTAGGGTGGGCACCAGCAATTGAGGACCAAGCGATCGACAGAGTTCATCGTCTTGGCCAGACCAGAAAGACAACGGTTTGGCGGCTCATTGTGGAAGGAACAGTCGAAGAGCGGGTTCTGGACGTCCAAAAGGAGAAAAGGGATCTTGTAACCAAGGCCTTTCAGGAAAAAGAGAGGAAAGGCAAGCATACGAAGGACACTAGAATGGCAGATATTGCAAAACTCTTGTCTTGATAGATTTGTTGTGGTTTGCTAAAGGTCGGTACCCTAGAGATATTAATGTACGACGCTGGGCAATTTGCTAGTATTTACATGAGACATCAAGTACGCCCACATGTGGCGAGTGTGCTATTAGCTTCAGAAGGGTCTATTTCATGAATTACAGACGTCTCTGACCATAGTGTCGGCGGAAAACAATTCATGTATTGCCGCCCAGGTAATTCTTGTGATATTCGCTTGGTTTACAACAGCTACCGGCTAACAACTTCCTTCTCCCCCCACCAAGGGGGTATCTGCTATGAACGTTGTCTTTGGTACGTTTGTGTTAAATTATTTCACATCTAAGACGACATGTGAATGATAACAACCCAATAACTCACGTTCGTCTATGGAAAATCCAAATGCTTGAGAGACCGACATCTGCTATATGGACAAAACGGACAAACTTGCGGAGTACATGGCGGAAACTGGCGTTTTTGGGGTTCAAGTGTGGAGCACCACAGCCCTTCAGCCACTCAGCAATCATTCAAATCACTGTACACATATCGATAAGCATCAACCACAGTGGCAGAACCTCTCTTTTTCCCCGCCAAATTTCTTGGGTGTCAAAAGACTTCATCTACACCATAGCGCGGTTTCCTCGTAACTGCTGGCGGGCAAAATGTCTGCAGTCTGCGAAAAAACAGACCCTCTTCAGGGTGTATTTGGCGGGCTTCCTGGCGCCAAGTTCGACGGTATGTGACGCTCATAATTCGAAGCGCTGCGCTTGATCAACTAACAAGGCCAAAAGACATCGTCGAATTGTGGCATGGCCACCGGACGCCAATCATTATCTGCGCACTAGTCGTTCTCGTCGTAATTCGAATCTATATCCACAAAATTGAAGAAGCAGAACCGTTGAGGGCGCTGCCAAAACGATTCGAAAAGAGGATTGAGCCCTTGAGCGCCAACAAGCTGCCAAGTGCTGTGAATTCCGAAAAGCCAATCGCCAAGCCAAACGGACCTAGGCGGATCAAGGGTGGCATCACCAAAAAGCCAGCAACGGAAGAAACAAAGGAATACGACAAGAGCCGACCTATTAAGACGATGGTATTCTTCTCCTCAGTCACGACCAAGACGGAGAAGATTGCGCAACAGTACTTGAGCACGTTGGAAAAATCGGTTGGTCAGCTCTCTCGCGGAACGGAGCGCCAGTTTCTAAAACCTGAGCTCCACGATCTGGCAGAGATCGATTTCGAGGACTTTTTTGTTAGCCCTGCCAAGACGGTCGAGGATGCCCATCTATTTTACCTATTCCTCATTCCCAGTTACAACATTGACACCATCAACGACACCCTCCTGCAGCATCTCGAAGAGACGCACCATGATTTTAGAATCGACACAGCACCTTTGGCAACCTTGCTAGGGTACTCCGTTTTTGGTTTTGGAGACAAGGAAGGCTGGCCCGATGAGGCAGACGGCTATTGCTTCCAAGCCAAAGAGTTGGATAAATGGATGTCCAAGTTGACTGGCCGCAAACGCGCATACCCAGTCGGCATGGGTGATATGAAGAGCGACCATGCTGAGCGGTTTGACGAGTGGTCATCGGGCGTGCAGGAAGTTATTGCCCATGTTGCAAGCAGCGGAACTCTAGGCGAAGGTGCTCCTGGCAGTGGTGATGCCATGGAAAGTGATGCTGAGGATGTGGCTGAGGACGATGATGGCGAGGTATTGATTGGAGAAGATATATCCGGTGACGACAGGGAATCTTCTCGACCTCTAGATGATGTGGAGGATTTGGGTCGCATGCTCCGAACATCTGACGGCAATGGCACTGCCAATGGCAAGAAAGCGCCGCTTGCCGTTGACTTCACCTCATACGGTGCATCTTCTGCAAAGAAACGCACGCCAACAGCTCCCGTTATCAAGGAAATGGTCGCCAAGAATTCACCTACATATGCCGCCCTCACCAAACAAGGCTACTCAATCGTCGGCTCTCATTCAGGAGTCAAAATCTGTCGCTGGACAAAGTCGGCGCTGCGCGGTCGAGGAAGCTGCTATAAGTACTCGCTATACGGCATCAACTCACACCAGTGCATGGAGACGACGCCTTCTCTATCCTGCTCCAACAAGTGTGTCTTTTGCTGGCGACACGGCACCAACCCCGTTGGGACCACATGGCGCTGGGTAGTCGACCCCCCTGAGATGATCTTCGAAGGCGTTAAAGAGAACCACTATAAGAAAATCAAGATGATGCGCGGCGTGCCGGGCGTACGAGCAGAGCGATATGCTGAGGCCCTCAAGATCCGCCACTGTGCACTCTCACTAGTAGGAGAACCTATCTTCTACCCTCATATCAACGAGTTCCTCGCCATGCTCCACGCAGAACGCATCTCCTCATTCCTAGTCTGCAATGCCCAACATCCCGACCAACTAGCGGCCCTCAAAGCCGTCACCCAGCTCTACGTCTCCATCGACGCCTCCAACAAAGATTCCCTCCGCAAAATCGACAGACCCCTCCACCGCGACTTCTGGGAACGTTTCCAACGCTGCCTGGACATTCTCCGAGAAAAACGATTCCGTCACCGCACCGTCTTCCGCCTCACCCTCGTCAAGGGCTTCAACGTAGAAGATGAGGCAGAAGGGTACGCGCAGCTCGTGGAGCGCGGACTCCCCTGCTTCGTCGAAGTCAAGGGCGTCACGTACTGCGGGACATCGACCTCTTCCAACGCCGGGCTGAGCATGTCCAACGTCCCGTTTTACTGGGAAGTTTGCGAATTCGTCAAGGCCCTCGAGGAGAGACTCAAGGCCAAGGGCTTAAAGTATGGCATTGCCGCGGAACACGCGCACAGCTGCTGTATTTTGCTTGCCAGCGAGCGGTTCTTGGTCAATGGCAAGTGGCACACGCATATCGATTATAAGCGCTTCTTTGAGCTGCTCGAGGAGAGGGGAGCGGATGGCGATTGGACGCCCGAGGATTACATGGGTGAGCCGACTCCTGAGTGGGCGTTGTGGGGGAATGGAGGCTTTGATCCGAGAGACGATCGGGTGGATAGGAAGGGGAGAAAGATTGAGAATGTTGTGGTGCGAGAGGCGCCGCCGCCAGACAGCTGGTAAATAGCGTGCTTTGAATCAAGATTCAGTACAAAGTATATAAACTTGCTGTGGTGACTGTTCACGAGGCGTAGGAAATCAATGCCCTTGATGTCCCATCACTTGGAAGCATGAAATTTTGGATCATAATATTTTCATGGAAAAACGCTACCTCGGCCTTCTCCCAGACGCCTTCCACCCCCCGTGGCGGCATTATTATACCGTCAACATCTGTTTACACAAGGCTCTATGCGCAGATAGAAGAGCGAAATTTATATATCGTACAACAAGGAGTTCGCAAAGCCTCCATTTCTCAGACCATTTTTAATCTTGTTCTGTTTTTTTTTTTTTTTACGTCCTAACACCCCTGGCGTTGTGACAGGGAGGGGTGAACGGAATAATAAGGGATTGTATGCGGTATTGCATTAGGTCAGAGTAGAGACGACTGAGTTCTCCACGCCTTTAGGTGTCCTGCCCCGACAGAGCATGGTGAAGGGACAGTTCTGATTAGTCGAGGCCAACGTTGGGGATATCGCCGAGGTTGATGCCGCCGGGGGAACGAGTGCGGATGTCGAGGCTGGAGTCGTATGCGATCATCTCGGCGAGGATGTCTAATATAGGCTGCAGAATTGGAGTTAGATTTCCATGGCCTATGTTGGTTGAGAGAATGGAAGCCGGATGCGTACCTTGGGAACGGTGCTGTCATAAATCTTGATCAGGTCACCCGGGGCAGGGTAGACCTTGAGACCCTTGTAGAAGGCAAGAGCGGACTCAACGGCCTTGGTTGCTGCATGACTGTTAGCTTGGAAAAGTAATGAAAACGATGGCATCCAAGATTGATGACATGGGGAAAGTTGTCGAGGGCGGGTAAAAGCTTACGATCCGAGCTCAGCATCTCCCCGGACATGACCTGCTCGTTGAAGTAGGCCTCGCGCTCCTCGACACCAGTCGGGAATCCCTCCTCCTTGGCTTCGTCAACCTGAGCTTTGATGGCATCTCGTTGAGCGCGCGTCGAAGCTTCAGCCTCCTCCTTCTCGGCGCGAACCTGCCGGCGCTCGTTTCTTCTCAGATCTCGGCGGAACTCGGCCTGGCTACGTCGGCGGTAGTCGAAGTAGACGGCATAAGCTACAGAGCAGAAAAGGTTCATTTGTCAGCAATCTAGTACTTCTATCCTGCAGGTCTGATTTGGAGACATGTTATGTTTTGTAGAGTAACAGTATAAACAGTGCTACGTACCGACGATAGCTGCGGCGGCGGTTGCGACGGTGGCCGTCACTACGGTTGACGTTTGGACCATTTTTGCCAAAGGGGATGTAAAGCCGTTGAAGCTAAACGGGGCCAAAGCTTGTGATGAAGGAGAAGAAAGAAGTGGCGAGTCTCAGGACCGACGATAGGTGGTCGAATAGGCGATGGGTGGAAAAGCCGTTGCTCAAGATTGATCTGTAGATGGGTGGATTGGATTGCGGTTTGGCGAGCAAAGGAGTGGTCAAAGTCGATAGACGTCTGGTCTGCAGCTCTAAGTCGTGCCGTCAATCAGAAGCCGAACCAATTTTTTTTGACGACATTTAGCCATGGGCTACCAAGTCGCCTGCGGGTGCTCCATCCTCCATCCAGGCAGTTGAGTGGCCTGCAGATTCCGGATCATCGATTCCGCGCGCCGGAAGAACGCCGGCTCAATGGGAGCTCCTTTAGAACAGTGGCTCGCTTGTAAGCGTAAGTAGGGAGTCTCGGGGAGTTTGGAAGCTCCATGTCATTGGCGGTAGTAGTACTAACACCAACCAGCATCTGCGCCAAGCCAACAGGTCCGGTGGGACATCTGGGACATCGGGAGTCTCCAACTCAATCCACCTCAGACACAACCGCCATCTCCTCCTCCATCACCTGCCCTGGGGGGAAGCTGGCACTTTCTCTCTTTTTAATCCTTTATACCACCGCGTGATTAG